TTTCGCTGAGGACTATGTTCCGAGTTGCACAAGGATTGTGGTCTTTTTTTTTTTCTTTATTTTTTTTCTTAAAGTCATTGCAGTTCCCAAATAAACATTGTTTTAGAAAAATAAAGATTGAAGACTGATACAAACTCACTAGTACAAACTGCTCGATTTAACTCACAACAAAGCATCTTCCAAGCTTGTGCTACAGTAATTAGTTCATAAGATATTGAAGTAAAAGATGCCACAAATACACAGTTTAAAACTCCAAAGCATATCTGGACTGAGTAATTCTAATGGTGTTTCCATAAGACATTCACCTAGGGGTCAACAAACAAATGCAGAGATAGATCGTCTTTAAACAGCATGTTTCAAATGGTTACTCTGATCCTCAAAAGCAAATCAAATCAGATTTCATTACAGCAAGAGACTCCAATAATACCATCAACTACTCTGGTTTTCGGTAAACCCAGAAAACCTTCTGAAGTGAGACTCAGTGTTTGTCACACTTGCTCATTATCCTCCATGCATTGTTTTCCATCAGCCTTTTCTCTTCACCCTTTGTGTTCTAATGAGAACTTGACCCAGATCCCATACAACCACACCTCTGCAATAACACCCTGTGGCGGCCATCAAATTATCCCAGCAATTTAAGCAGCCCAACAAAAAAGTTAGCTTTCTTTAGCTTAGCTGCTACAACCACCAGCAGACCTGCAAATAAAAATTTAAACTGGAAAGAGAAATTACACCTCACTGCTATACTTTCTCCTTGACTTTTGTACTTTATTTTATCTTATGGGGTAGGAAGAAATAACAAATCTTGAGATTACCAGCCCTTCCAAAACCAGGCAACTTTCACAAAAATAGGAGCAAGTCATCACCTTGTTTTGCCAACAGAGAACCTCTAATGGTTTGTTTCATAAGTCATCTAAATGTAAATATCTAAAAGCCCACCAATACCCAGCCATCCTTTCCCAAATTAGCACCATACTATCAGTGCTGTGCCCCAGCTGTTGAAGAAGTACTATTCAAGATTTTAACTACTGACTACACAGTTTGATAGGCAACACTTTTAAGCAGGTTCTGCTTTACAATTTACAGTCACCAGGTCAGACATCTCGAAAAGACTGGCAAGAGTTTCTAGTTGTGGGTCAACTAAAGCAACCCCAGCAGGTTTTGTTATAAAAGTCAAACTAGTAATTGGGGCAGCCCACAAATGTTTTTGCTGGCATGCTTCAGTAAGGCAGACAGCATCTTCCTTTAAAAGTTTATCACCTTTCCTTATATTTTTTTAATGACTTAAAACTAAGATTTATAAGAGCAGAGCAGGCCATTTCCTCTCCCCTTCTCTGACCCCAGCTAGATCTTGCGATGCTGGAAACACTCATGTTCTCTTGGCATAGTTATAGAGTGCTTCAGAGGGAAAGGGGAGTCCAACAGGGAAGATTAATGCCTTATTTGCCTTCTAAATTGAATCACGTTTACCTCACTTGAGAGTTATCACTAAACCCGATTTCCCAGAGATTCACGCAAAGGGTTGCGGTGTCAACCAGTGATACCATCTCCTCAGTGAATCTCGCAGACGTGCTATGAATTGAAATGGAAGTGCAACAGACCGCAGTAATGGCAGCAAATAGTTTGGGTCAAATAATCTGAGATGAATAATAAGAACAGGTTTTGCTGAGCAGCTTTTTATTAAAAATAGCATCAGATTTCAAAAAAGAATTATGTAATGCTTCTATAAAGGCAAATACCACTGGGAATGGTGTCATTACGGGTAAAAGAGATTGGTAAAGTACTAGCAATAACAATACAGCCTAGACAGTCCTCAGTACAAGGACCAATTTTTTTCCCCATTCCCATCAACCACCCACCAAACCAACAATAGCTGATTCTATTTTAGACTTGGTATATGCTGAAGACTATACATTTCAGAAAGTTTTTCATATGAAAAGGCTTTGAACAGAGCAATCATAACATGATATGGCTAAAAATTAAATGGCACAAAATAGCATCTGGATTTTAAAATGACAAACACTTAGGGAATTGGCTGCTAGACGTGGCTGGAACAAGAGGATCAGAAACTTGAATGTGGAGGAAGCCTGCAATTTCTTTCAGAAAGCAATGTTGAAACTCCAAAGAATACACATTCCAAGAAGAAAAAAAAAGTAGAAGTCCTCCAGACTCATTAGGAGACATGTTAGAAGTAGGCAGAGGAGGAATGGAAAGAAAACTATAATTCAAAATTGCTTCAAAATATTGTGTCAGTCACATTAAAAACAAACATTAGAAAAACGTTTTCCTGCCATATAAAGATAAAAACCTCACTTCACAGAGAGTCGGGGTTACAAACGAAGGCTGGTCTAAAATTATGCTTGGCAAATTAATCAACAGAATTGCATGTAAATTCAACAGCAAAGACTACAGGATCATACAGGTGAACATTTTCACAAATATTTTCATTGTCAGACCCAACTTCATCAGCTAGAAAAAATATAAAGGAAAGCCATGAATTAGAGATAACATACAACTAAATGTCAGAAAGCTTCAGAAGAGATTTTTCTAGTAGAAATTAAAGCAGTGCCATTGTACAAGGTAGCAAGAGAAATAGTATCTAAGAATACTATACAATACTCTCTGGGAACCTAAGAAGTGTCCTTCTGTCAGTCACGACAGAAGCTTGTTGCTCTGGTCTTCCCTTCACCTTCACACTCTCTTCCTTGCACTATGCTCAGTGCTGGCTGCATCTTAAGACTCTTCCATTTCACTCTTCAAATTCCCCATCCAGTCCAGATGCTTTTTTTTCCTGAACATGCTAACTTGCTCATCTTCCCCCACTCCTCAGACAACTCCACCTTACCCAGTTATTTTCTTCATAAAGCAATATAAAGAAGTAAAACAAATATCTGCCTTCACGCCATACTGAAGTGTAAGAAACCAGGTTCCAGTGCATGACCAAAACCCAACAATGTCAGGCTCCAAGGGGTTTGCTTGCAGTAAAGGTGAACAGTCCTTATTGCAGACAGGGCTTGTACAGAAACTGAAATCATTCTCCTGTGGATTTAAATAGGCTTCTACGTGCTACAGGCTTGGGGAGAGGGAGGTTATTTGTGGGCGTTTTTTTGGTTTTGCTTGTTTGTTTTTAAGGACTGCAGAAAATTTAACTCGGAGGCTCTCCTTCCCCTGCGGGGAGGAGGGGAAAGGAGCAGTGTGCCTCGTTAAATTTGTCCTCCCTTCTCCACGTCCAGCACTTATTTAAGGTTGAAGTTCGTCATGCAAATAAATTTGATGAAAAACTGTTTGGATATAAGGAAATCACTCGTGTATTTGGTGAGGTATTAGAATGGTTTCAAGATAAAATTTAAGGAGATGGGGAAGGGACAGACCAAAACATGAAAAATCCCTTTAAGCATTACAATACTTTTGAAACAAGTCCTTTGACTCTGCTTTTGGAATAAGTTTCCTCTGGGAGTTTAATTCTTCCCTAC